TGCTATAATTAAAAATGAACATCCCTGGCCTGTAATATTTAAAATAATCAACATGTAAAAGTAACCTCCAAATTATGTTTTTTCCAGGTGACTCTTTAGGAAAATGAATACAAAACTTCAAAACTAATCTTGCAGAGGCATAGAAATGTGAGTCTCTTACTCCAAGTTTCTGATCACTTTTTTCTACATAAAAAACAGTAGGTCATACCTTTCCATTCTAGACTAGCCACTGGGGGAGGCAATTTATGATGCTTCAGGTGAGATTTATATCACAAATTCATTTTCTAATCAATAATTCAATCACAAATTGTTCCACGACATTGGTTACAACCTCCACACTGTGACAGCATTCTCTCGGCCTCCCTGGGTTCCTGAGCTGTCTGTCTGGTCTTCCTGTCTCTCCTGGTCTTCTCGTCTTTGGTTTTGGACAAATGTTGCCCTCTTGGTCTCCTGCGGTTGATTGTTCTATAGGCATTCTTCGTGGATGCGTTGTTTATTTGATAGGCTGATTATTTGGCTGAAAAATGGTTTCCAGGAGTGTCTTTGGTTTCAAGTTAGGTTTCCTCAGGGCTGTAATCTTGGGCTTTCCTCCATCTCTTTGTCTTTTCTTTATTTGAACTTTTCTGACCCTTGTGACCCAATCTAACCAGGGCCTTCTCTTTGGTCCCAGTTGGAGGTGCTCCCTGTGGATCACTAGTCTTTGGAGCTGGTTGCTTCCTTAAGTCTGGTTTTCCTTTGCTCCAGCAGCGAAGAGGCCCTGTGGTACTTCTTTGTTATTTATGTAATTTTGGCTTATTGTACCACTTATTTTCAGAATAATTTTCAGTTTCAGAAGGACAATATCCTAAACTTAAATTGTGTCTAATGCTGAGATTTAGTTCTATCTAAATAAAAACAGACACCTAAGTGGGATCATGTCCTTGTACATCATAGTGTACATTCATTCATCAGGTTAAAACCTTTACATTAGTGCTTTTCAAAGGATGACGTCAAGATAAAAGACTGAGTTTATCATTCAAACGTACCCTAGGAATTTAAAGAAACACATTTTGGGTACTTGCAAATAAATGTAAATACCATTGTCTTTTCATTTTAAATGTAATTCAAAAATATGTAAGATGTAAGAGAAGAGTAAGTGATTTATGGTAATAAAACACTAGTTCTTATAGACATCTTTTGAAAGTGAAAGAGGAAAACAACATTTTTATATGTACTATTTTATATAATTTTTAAAGACCAAAACCAAAGCAAACAAAAAGCCCATGGCCACTGAATCTATTCTGATTCACAGCAACCCTATCCTGGGTTCCCAGGCCGTGACTCTTTGGGGAGCAGATGGCCTCCTCGATTCCCAGAGGAGCAGCTATGGGTTTGATCCCCGACTTGGTGTTCTGCAGTCCAGTGCCTCAACAGCACCACCAGAGTGCGTACCGACCAAACAGAAAACCACGAGTCAATGGCTTAGACCATTCAAAATACAAAAAAAACCAACCATGAAATTATTATTACATTGAATGTCCTTAACGTAATGTTCCATATTATTTTTATTCTCTATTATGTTAATGATCGCCACATTAGAACACACTTAATAGCTACAGTAATTTTCATAACGGTTTAGATCTTTTCTGATTTTGAACACTGACTCTTCTTCTGATTTTTGTTTATAAAAAACACAGGACAAAATGCACCCTAGATTACTCTCTAGTGTCATGCTGCCTGGCTGTGAGGAACAAACATTTCCATGGCTCTGGCTACAGCTTTCCAAAATGTAAATGTTTGGTTGACTTCTACTGTAATGTAAATACCCCAAATAGACAAAATTATATATGTTAATGGGACATAGCAGAAAGAGCTCAGGCTTTGTTTCAATTTCTAGTTCAGCTGCTTACTTGGTATTATTAGGCGCCTTTCAATCACCTTGCCCTTTCTCATCTCTAAAATAGGCATAATACAAACCACCCTGTAGTTTTGTGTCTGGTATCTAAGTGTTAAAATAATAGAGACGATGATTGCCAAAGCAATAAATCACAACGGAAAGTGAGTTTGGGAATGATGTAGACCCACTTCTAGAATACTGACCCCTTATTAGGGGTCACACTTATTAGCTGTGTGATCCTTGGATCAGTTATTTACAGGACTTGGAACTGGTGCCTTCCAGCTCAACCCCCTACTAAGAATTTGCATCTCCACCCCAGGTACCATGAATCAGCATCGAGTCAATTCCAATTCATTGCAACCCTATAGGACAGGCGAGAACAGCTCCTTTCTCCCGAGGAGTAGCTCGTGGTTGCCAACTGCCGAACTTGTGGTTTGTAGCCCAAAGCATTATCACTATGCCACCAAGACTCCAAATCAGAATCAGAATCTAAATTTAATTTAAAAAACCAAACCCCTCAAAAACAATGAATTGATTCCAATTCATAGCAACTCTATAGGACAGAGTTGAACACCCTTTGTGGTTTTCCGAGACTACATACTTCACACAGGAACAGAAACTAAATAACCTGTTACATAATTAGTCACAAATACAGTCCTCAAGTCCTTTTGGCCCTAGACACGAGTATTGTCCAACACAGGTTTCCTATCTAGCAGGTAGGCCCGGCCACCACTATGCTGAGCCACTAAGTCTGTTGTAACTTGTAGCTTCCTGTCACATCTGTGGTCCTCCTCTCCTGCTTTGTTTTTCCGGGCAGTCATTAAAATCTTCTGCCACTGCCATAGCTACTGCTACTGCTGGAACCACCACAGCCACCTTGGTTTCATGGTGTGGAAAAGTATTGACCTCCACCACCATACGGGCCAGGGCTTCTGCGCCAAAATCTTAAGATTGATTCTTGTTACTGCTAAAATCTTTGTTGCTTCTGCCACCTCCAAGTTCCCGCCATAGCCAAAGTTGTCATTGCCACCAAAATCACCTCCGGGGACATCACCCAAGTTTTCAGAAGCACTTGGAGCTCTTTGGCCGGGAGAGGCACCTCTCTTGCTTTGGCTGGGCTTTCCTTCCTTCACAGGTGTGGTCACTCGCACCATGGCGTTGCTGAAAGACAACCGTATCTACAGGCCTGGTCACAAAAAGTTACAGAAGCAAAGCCCCTCCTCTTGCCTTCTGTGTCATGATTTCAATTACTTCGTTTTCCCATATTGCTCAAAATAATCTCTTCAGTGGGGTCTTTAGTGTCTTCGATGCCACCAACAAAGCTCTTCTTCACAGTTAATTGGGCACCTGGTCTTTGAGTCCCTCGTGAGACGGTTCTTGTTCCACAGCTCCTCCAGATACCCACCTTGTGTGGCCTTGCAGGATGGCTGCATCCACCTTCTCCCCAGTGGAGTAGGTGGCACCCCCAAAGTCTGTGGAGTGCATGGTGTGTAGAACTCTCGTCACCGCCCAGTGCACGAGGATCCCCGTTGCTCCAAATGGCTCTGCAGACTCTCCTCTGTTATTTAAAAGCCCGACCCTTGAGTGAAGCCTCCCCAGCTGTTTGGGCTCCTTAGGAGCCTCCAGCTTAGACGGGGTGCAATGGCGGCGAGGGTTGGATTAGAAAAGAAAAAAAAAACCCTTCACGCGCTTCCTCCATGGCATCCACAAGCAAAAAAAAGCTATAAAGCTTTACAGGAGTAGAAAAGTTCATCTTTTTCGTGTGGAATGGCTAGTGGCTTTGAATTACTGAGCTTGCAGCAATTAGCAGCCTAACATGTAACTTACTACATCACCAAGGCCTCTAAGATCCCCCAGGCAGCTACCAAAATCACTGTGGGTGTCTCGTGAAAATGTAGGTTCTACAGCCATCTCAGATACAATTAGTGGTTTCTCCCTGTAATTCAAAGACTGAATGAATGAAACAAAATACTCAAAGAAATGAGTCCAGAAGTCTGCCACAGCCTCCTCTAGCCTGACAGCCAAAAAACTGGATAGTGCCTGGCTACCATAATGGGCCACTTTGACCGAAGGCAGAGTAGAAGGAATAGTTAGAATGGAAGGAAAACTGTACAACAAAACCCAAGTTCGTAAAAAGAAGACCGGACTTACTGGAATGATCGAGACTGGAGAAATTCCCAAAACGATCACCTTAACACACCTTTTCAAATTGGAACTGAAGCCACTCCCTGAGGTGACCTTTCAGCCAAATAACAGGTTGGCCTATAAAATACACAGTAACACCTACAAGAAATGTGCTTGAGACGGCTTACTACAGGAAACAAAAAGGGCTCCATTTGCCACAAAGCAAAAGGCAGAGATGAGATGACAAGCAGGGACCGAGCACCTGGAGGTGTGGAAGCGTGGAAGGCAGAGTGGGGACATCATGCGGTGGTTCCCACCCACGGTCCTAGAACACTTTACAAAGCAAGCACTCAAGGGGAAACTGCCCTGCTGCTTTGCATCCTTTCTCCTAGAGCACAGTAAGATGTTTTTAAAAGTGTAGATTCAGTTTGAGTATATGGGGTAGAAAGCAAATTCTCAGCAGTGGGTCAAACTAGAAGGAGTCAGTGTGAAGCCCTTGGCCAATTTCAGCTTCCTCAACATGAGGCTGCTATTCACTCCTTGCCTCACTGCCACTGGGTCCACTCTGACTCAGAGCGGCCCTATGGGATACAGTAGATATAACAGAAATGCTCCTAAGTGTTTCTAGGACTGTAAGTCTTTACAGGAGCAAACAGTCCCATCTTTCTCTCACAGAGCAGTTGGTGGGTTTGAACTGTCGACCCTGGTTAACAACCCAGTGCTTAGCCCATGCCACCAGGGCTCCTTCGTGAAAACCCAGTGAATAATATGTCAATACTTACCATAGAGCTACCTTGCCTGGGAGGTTGTGGTCTCGACCTCCGTGCGCCCCTGACTGACTGAGAGGGGCAAACACACTTCGACACACTGTGCTGCTTCATGGCAACATATTCCGGGGCACTCTCCATTCCCTCCCCTCGGATCAGCTCCTTGAGCCTTATCCTTGTTTTGCCATACACATTCCTTGTGTTCCCTTCGTCACTCCCATATCAAGTTTGCACATTTTCAATAAGTCAGTCGCATATATTCACACTCCTATCTCAAGCTTTGTTTCCAGGACACCAAACCTCAGAAACTCAAAATCCCAACTCACTGATACCAGTTCATTCCGACTCATAGTGGCACTACAGGACAGGGTAGAACTGCCCATGTGGGTTTCCGACTTTAAATCTTTCTTTCTAGGAGAAACCTCAGTGTTCTCCTGCAAAGTGACTGCTGGGTTTGAACCGCTGACCTTGTGGTTAGCAGCTCAATGCGGAGTCCACTACTCCACCAGGGCTCTTAACATCAGACATTGATGCTCAATAAATGGGAGCTCTTACTGTCACTGGGAGAAAGACAGGGCTTTCTACTCCCGTAAACTGCTACAGTCTTAGAAACTCACAGGGGCAGATCTACCCTGCCCCGAAGGGTCACGATGGCAGTGAGTGGCTACCATCATGTTCTCAGAATAATAAAACCACATGCTTAATTATCGTAATACATTCACAATTCTCATGCACACTTCTATGTGACTATCACTTTTACATCACATAGTTTCTGGTTTACTTTCTCTGCAACTTGAATATTTCCATCATGGGATGACTGGCTAAATTCTGCGACAGGACTTCATACTTTACAAGCCACCCCACACTTAGAGCATTAGGAGGCTGTACATTGTTCTCCATCGCAAGGCGGCGGACGGCAGGTGTTGCCAGTGTTTTCTGGCCTCTTATCTCTTGGTGTGTGTGTTCATCATGGGACACAGCGGGAGTTTCAACAACATCTTCTTCTGAATCTGGTAACAAGAAAAAACTTTATGTTAGCTGGAAACATTAAAGGAAATCATTGGAAAAGGCTAATGACATAAATCTGAGTAAACAAGCTTGTAGTCAAAATGCAAAAGCAGTAAGTGGGCTACTTCGGGATGGGAAAACACGATTATCCCTAGTGGGAGTGGGGCTTTGGGGCTGAGGGGACAGTGCTATAACTAACAGGCTAGAAATGAAGGCCACTGCATTCTTAGAGGATAACGTTATTGCCTGATACCGAAACCTGACACTGGTTAATGATTATTATTACCTGGTGGGAGTTTTTTCTGTTCATTTGTGTTAAAATCATGTAGCAGCTACAAGTTAAAAAGAGAGAACGTTTCTTTCATAAACTTTAAAACACATTGCATATTAAACACTTCCTAATGCATTTCCCTTATTGACATCCATATATTTAATAAGAAGCGAATGTGAAATAAATGACATGAAAGATTCAATTAAATGCTGTGGCAATCTGAAACACTTTTCAAAGACGATACTGCACCTAACATTTTTCTGTTTTGAATACTACTTAAGGACAGAAATGGAAGACTACATTTTCCAGGATAAAGCTAATTTGTTTGCTATACAAATGCTAGAGAATTTATACATAATAAGCTATGAGCATGTATTTTTGTAAACAAAACTAATTGTGCTTGACTGTCAGGAAGACAACGCTGAATAGCAGAATCTCTGTGAAGAATGGTAACTAGAGAAAATGTCCCCAAATCTACAGGCAACTCCGTTTACCTTGGCATTCAGTCCTAAGAAAATAACATTGTTTCACTCTGCAACTATGAAAAAACAGTTCATTCATTCCTCATTAGGCAATAAATCAGCCGAAGGAAACTTTCAAAATTCCCGAGGGGGAAGGTATTAAAAAGAGAACCAAAAAACAGTTGGTATCAAGCAACTACTACATGTCAAACATTATGTTTCATAAGCAAATCTTAATCTTCATTCCAACTGTGTAAAATAAGTATCAACCCTATTTTACAGATCAGGAAAGTGTCGCTTGAAAGATAAAGGGAGTTGCCCAATGCCATACACGTAAACTGGGGCTAGGACTGACTCAGGTCTATGTTCTTTCCACTAGTTCATAGCCTTAGTACACTTTGTTTTTGGTCAAATTAGAGAATATAAGTCCCATGGTTTAATGTGGACCAATTCTTTTTGGTACAGTGACTGTGTATTCCTCCCATCTTCTTTTGATTCTTCCTGTATCATCCAACATTTTGTCCATAGAATCCTCCAATATGGAAACACAAGGCATGGATTTTTCTTTCAGCCTGATTATGGTGGGTATGGTCTTCCTTTCTGGCTGTCTAACTCCAGGTAGTGGCACAGTTCATTAGAATACTTCACTTTGTCTTTGCAAGTTGCCCTTTGAAAATTTTCTCTTCGGTTCTTTTACTTCATCATTTCTCCCATTTGCTTTACCTTCTTTATATTCAAGAGCAAGTTTCGGGGTCTCTTTTGACATCTACTTTGATCTTTTATTTGATTGACGGATCTTTTCTTTCCTGTCTTGTTCATGACCTTTTGCTTTCTTCATGTATGATATTCCAGATGCCATCCACAACTTGTGAGGCTCTCTGTCATTAGTGTTCAATGTGTCAAATCTGTTCTTGAGATGTTCTCTGAATTCAGGTGGGGTAGACTCAAGGCTGTATTTTGATGCTCTTGGCCATTTCAGGAGCTAGTCTATGACCAGGAACCCATCATTTCAAAGGAAGAACTCTAGCCCACACAGAAGGAATAGTGAAAAACGAGGCTCCAGGAATTAATAAAATGCCATTCAAAATGTTTCAACACGCTGATGAAGCACTGGAAGCACTCATTTCGAAGACGGCTACCTGGCCAGCCAATCAGAAGAAATATATTATTTGTATTCACTCCAAAGTAAGGTAAACCAACAGGATGCACAGTTTATCAAAAATATATAATTAATATCACATGCAAGTAAATTCTGCTGAAGATAATTTAAAAATGCCTGCAGGAATCTATCAACAGGGACCTGCCATAAATTCAGGCTGGATTCAGAAGAGGACATTCAACAAGAGATATCACTGTTGACATCAGATGGGTTTGCGCTGAAAACACACAAAAGCAGAAAGATGTTTACTTGGGTTTTATCGACTATGCAAAGACATTTGACCACGTGGATCATAACAAACTATGGATAACATGATGAAGAATGGGAATTCCAGAACACTCCATTGTGCTCATTCAGAACCTGTACACAGATCAGGAGGCAGTCGTTTTAACAGCACAAGGGAATACTGCGGAGGTTACAATAACAAAAGGTGTGTGTCAGGGTTGTATCCTTTCACTATACTTTTTAAGAGCTATATGCTGTGGGAGGAAAACAGAACAAAATTCACAAGCTTCAAAAAACGACCACATTAAGTCAGGTGGAACCCCTAAGGCTCTTTGATACTCTTCAAACTTGGAAGGGAACCTACCCCCAAGGATCCCCTTTGGGTTAAACAACACATAGGCCCTAACACCAGGGAGGGATGTGCTCTTCAGACCAATCCCCACACAGGACCTAAAGGGCATTTGCCCCCATTCTCAGAAGGCAGAAAGGGGCAGGTAAGAATGAATGGAAGCGGAGCCATGAAAGTAGAAAGAGTGTTGTAGCCTTTGAAAGGGCTGCAGTTAATGTAATGAAACAAAATGGGTAAAAGTTGTTGAATGGAAAACTAATGTGTTCTATAAGCTTTTATACAAACCACATTTAACAAAAGCAAAAACAAGCTCTTTCTTCACAGACTGCACAAATATAAGGACCATTGCCTATCCATTTGGTCATAAATTTAGAATTAACGACACTCAAACTGAAGAAATTTCACTGCATTTTCTCATGCACTTTTAGTAACTGATAATTCAATTAACTCAATCTACCATTAGCTGTACAAAATTAAGTTATAGCCACCATATATTGAGCCAAGGCATTATGCTAATTTATGTTACCATCATTAAACAATATTACATTGTTAGAGAATTGTTAGGTCAAAGAGCTTTTGACTCTATACCACTGTGTCAATCCTGGTACACATTTGATGTGCTGTGCAGTGCCCTGCATTGTTGGTACAGAATTCTGGGTAAGCCCAGTGTTGGGAGATCCACTCCCAGAGTTCTGCTACCCAAGGCTCTCGGAAGGGAGTTTTCAGTTTCACACAGTGATCAGGAGTAGGATGGGATTTAGAATGAAAGAGTTGAAAGAATGCAGGGCGGCCCAAAAGGAGTAACCTCAAACAAGAGCCCCACGGACCCAGGCAGCTGCACAGGAGTGAACGGGGAGTTCCCCCAACATCGTGGCTCACCTCCTGATGAAACTTCTGTGTGGGAACAGTGAAGCCTAGAGCTACAGGGACATCCGGGGTGTGCTTATAAGAACCGCAAAATGGAGGTATACCTCAACCAACAGCAGGAGATGAAAGAGAGAGAAAATCTTTAAAACCATCTATGAAAGAGGGCTGCTTCTCAGGACCCCCAAATAGAGATGTGGGTAAAGAAACAGAGGAAATACAAACATTTTAGAATAGCCCAAGAGATCTACCATTTTATCCAACAGGGAAGCAATCACACAGTCTCCCAATTCAGAATTGAAAGAGAAGAAAAGGAAAATGGAGGATGCTGCTGAGCTTGATTTAACAAACCAAAAACAGGAGACAGAGGAGTCTGAAGAATGTGGCATCGAGGCTCCAGCAGAATCAGAAATGAGAGTGGGAACACGGGAGGAAGAGGAAGAGGAAGGCTGACGAAGAGGATAGTAAAGTGCCCAGCCTGCCCTGGGGCTGACCAGTGCATGTGAAAATACTTCATTTACTTCTCTAGCTAATCTTGTCCATGAAAACACTCTGAGGGCGATTAAAGAAATGGGCTTTACAGACACGATTGAGGCTGAACATAAAAGGATCAGACCACTTCTAGAAGGCAGGGATCTTGTAGTACCTGCAAAACAAGCAGTCATAAAATCCTTGAATTTTTCTCCCCTGTAGTGGAACTCCCTGTTAACATTAATGCCCAGGAATGGGACAGAAATTCTTAGCCCCCCCACCCGCAGACATATGGTGTACTGAAGGAGCTAAGGACACACGTTCACAGGCACGGGCTGATTGTGGGGGGGCAGTCACAGATCAGGATCAATATCATTATAGCCACACCAGGCAGCCTACCGGCCCATATGCAGAATACCCCACAGCTCATGTATAAAAACCTACAGTGCCTGGTTGTTGATGAAGCTGGTCGTGTCTTAAATGTTGGATTTGAAGAGGAGTTAAGGCAAATTATGAAACTTCTAATATGCTGACAGGCCATGCTTTTTCCCATCAAACTCAAAAAGGTGAAGACCTGGCAAGGATTTCTCTGAAAAAGGCGCCCTTGTGTGTTGATGTTGGTGACTTTAAAGCCAGTGCCACCGCGTATGGTCTTGAGCGCCCCTCCCTCTGTAAAAGGATTCCTTCTGCTCTTTACACTCAAGACCCCAAAGAAGAAACGAAGGGTGTTCTTTTCATCCTGGAAGTCTAGACGACATTGATTTGCCTGCCTTGGCCATTCATGGAACACAAACAAAATAAGCAAGCAACCACATTTTTTCTATTCTGCAATGCACACTCGGGGATAGTGTTGTGTACAGAAGTGGCAGCTCAAGGACTGGATATTCCCCAAGTCCACTGAAGTGGCCAGGACCACCCTCCAGATGACCCTAAGGAGTATATTCTTCGTGTGCGTAGAACAGCCGGTTTAAATGGAAGACAGCATGCCTAGCTCCCTTTTCATCCAGAAGGATTGTGTTTCCTGCGTTACTGAAGCAGTCCAAGGCTCCACTAAGTGAATTTGCGTTTTCTTGGTCCAACATTTCCAATATTCAGTCTCAGTTTGAAACGCTTATGGAAAAGAACTGCTTCCTTCATAAATTAGCTCAGGAAGCATGTAAGTTATATATTCAAGCATATGATTCTCACTCTCTGAAACAAAT